CGTGCCGAGTTCCTTATTCCTCTGCTGGGATCTTCACCTTGAAATCTTGGCAGAGCATCAAAGAGTCGGATGGGAATCTTGGCAGAAGCAAGAGCCACTTATCAAGCGCATAACAAGTACAACCTGCTTGGTGTTCAGCTTCACCCTCTCTGCTGCTTTGGGGTGCCGATGAAAACTGTCCCTGTGATTAGGCGCAGACAGCAGACTTTAATGGGGCGCGGGCAGGTCTTGATGCCTAATGGAGGTGTTCTCCATGTCTGAGAAATCACACTCTTTTTTTTTTTTTTTAACATTACAACACTGCCCTGCAGCGTTGTCTGATGGATATGAGAATAAAACTTGAGGCTCAGAAGCTCTTGGGAATTGAAACACAGCTCTTGATTTGGACAAAAAATAGCAGCACTGCAAAAATGAGAAATCGGAGAGCTCTGGACCGGGCTATCAGCTGATCCCAAGTCCCCAAAGTGTCCTTCTGAATCCCTGGTTAGTGGTAGCATGAGGACTGTCAGGCAGAGGGCAGCTGGTGGAAAATTCCCCACTCTGGTCACCTTAATGAGAGAGACATTCTTGACTGTGTGGCTCAGGTTTCCAGGGAGAAATGGGACGAGCAAAGAAATGGCTTCAATCCCCTCCTTTGGCCTGAGTAGCAGTGTGTGTGGCTGTAGCTGGGTACAGAGTAGTGCCCCAGATAACCCTGGTCTGTATTCATCAGCATCAAAAAGTCTTGGAGCAGACTGTGCCCACCAGCTCCCTGGCTTTCTGCAGAGAAAGTGTGTTGCTCTTTACGATGCTGACATAGTCAACTTACAAGAATGGATTGGAAGAAAAAGCCCATAAGGCAGTCAGCCTCAGATTAAACAAAAAGGAACTCTGATTCACAACTGCTAGCTTAATGGCAACAGATTCATTTTCTTTGATAGCACTTTCTCTGAAATTGTCACTGCTGGAATTAAAAAACAAAGCCCCTGGCCTTCACTTGTGTTCATTCACCAACTGTTGGGGAGCAGCATCTGCTAAGAGCGGCTGCTTCAGTAGCTGCTGAGTATGGGAAGAAGGAGGATGGCTCTTGGCTTCGTGGAACTCATGCTGTGGCTATGAGCTAGCATGAGGTGGAATGATCTAGAAGCCACAGACCAGGGAAGGGCTGGAGGAGCAACATGCTCAGGGAATTTCCCTAAAGGGAAGTCGTGCTTGAGCCAAACTCTAAAGGTGACCCAGTAAGGGGTTTTAAGCAGAGTAACAAGGTCAGATTTCCTATTAGAAGAAAACTCTTAGGATGGGGAGGAGGGTGTTAATAATTTACAATGTGCCAAACAGAAATAAATTTGGAAATGTTTTGCCAACTGGCTGCTTCTCTTATTCTCTGTCCCTGTCACATTCATAGTACACACAACCCACACAGCCTATAAAACACACTGCTGGTGAGTCCAGACTGCAGCCAGGGATTCTCAGAATCAGATGACGTGGGGTTGGGGGTCACTGGGAGTCCCACAGACATTCTCTTCCTTAGATTTTATTACAGGCTCTGGATTATGCCTATAGCCCTTTGTGGTGTGACTGCCAACGGAGGAGGAATTCTCCCAGTGACGCAGGCAGCAGATCCTCTGGAAGTGGGACTGGAGAGTTCACAGGACTGAGCCCCAGGAGGCCCATTTCTTCCACATTCATTAAGCCACCCTAAGACTCTTGATAGGAAGCATTGTGAGCGCTGGACCCAGAGTTCCTTTCATCTGCAGTGACCTCTTTTTCTAGAGCATGGTGTCCTAGCCTTGGCACTACTGACATTTGGGGCCAGATGATTATTGTAAAGGGTGATCCTGTGCTTTATAGGGGGTTTAGCAGCATCCCTGGCCTTGACCCACCAGATGCCAGCAGCACTCCCCAGGTTGTGACAACCAAAACTGTTGTGGGGCAAGCACCCAAGCAAGGCAAAGTTATCCCCAGTTGGGAACTGTTCTGAGGGACAGTTTTCCACTCTCCTTTATCTCTGTTCTATTTCTTGACACATCCTCCCTGTGTTCTTCCTCATTCTCTGGACAGTTCTTTGTAGATTCCTGGTGCCTCCTCTGTCTGGTCTCCTTTAAGGCTTAGTCCTTAACCCCATTCCCATTACACTTTATGCCTTCCCCCTCTCATCCATTCCCAGGAGTCTAAAAAATTTTCTATATTTTCTTCTCACCAGATACCCTGATTGGTCTCCAGGCCAGATCCCCCACCCAAGGTCCAGACTGGTTGCTCCTCATGCTAGATGTCTCACTGGCCTCACAAAGTCCACCAAGCTTTCTCCAAAACTCATTCCTCTTCTCATCTTCCTATTTCAGTAAATGGAACCCCATCTACCTGCTGTCTGTGCCAGAATCCTTTGGGTCATTTTGACTCCTCTTTTTTTCCTCACCCTTATAGCCCATCTAAGTTGGATCCCTGTCAATTCTGTCTTCAAAATATATTTCAAAACCATCTGTCCTCTCTATTGTTGTTAGTACTCTAGTTCAAGTCAGCATATAACCTAAATAACCAAAAATGCAAATAACTCTACTGACCTCAGTGGTCTCCTGATTTCCATTCTGCCCTTCTCAATGTATTTTCCTTCCAGAGCAATCTTTGGCAAGCATAAATCCGACCCTATGATGCTCTATCTTCCATATCTTCAAAGGGATTTACCGTACTTGACTAAAATCTGTCTATTAAACAGCCCCTTCCTCCTTCATCCCTTTCTTCCCTTGTTTGTCTGTGGCCACTATGTTTGCCTCTTAAACATGTCACCATGGAGCTGGATGTGGTGGTGCAAGCCTGTAATCCCAGCAGCTCGGGAGGCTGAGTCAGGAGAATCGCGAGTTCAAAGCCAGCTTCAGCAACGTCATGATGCTAAGCAACTCAGCGAGACCCTGTCTCTAAATGAAGTACAAAATAGGGCTGGGGATGTGGCTCAGTGGTTGAGGGCCCCTGAGTTCAATCCCTGGTACCAATAACAATGACAACAACAGTCACCATGGGGTCCTCTACTTGCTCTGCCCTCCACCTGGAATGATGTCCCCAGCTCTTTCATCCTGCAGGTCTCAGCACTGCTGTCATTTCTTCCAGAACATCTCTCCTGAGAGTACCCTCTACTTCCATATTCATGGGGTTTTCCTTTATTGTTTGGCTCCTCTGCTACATTAGAAGTGTCATGAGGGAGGGCCATGAGTATCTCACTACCACGTATCTGTCTTAATTCAATGAGTACTCCATTAAGAGTTATTGGATGAGTGACCATCTCTCATTTCCTTGGTCAAACTACATGCAGGAAAGAATGCTTCATGGTCCAGGACAGAGGTATGAATGTGTCCGTGCATGACTCCATCAAGCACGACAACAGCGCTCCACCAGTGTGAATGGAAAGAAACTTTCCAGGGGTGGTTCTTAGGAGAACAAAGCACAGGGAAGTGAGCCAAGCACCTGGTGACCTTAAGTGAGAACCATTGATTTCTTCATTACCATTCCCTATTTATCCCAAGACTTTCCACTGAATCAGAAAAGTGCTCCCTGAGGAATAGGCAGGACCACACCAAAGCATTCTGGGAGGAAGGGCTGAAATTAGTTCAGTTTTCTGGCAACACTGCCTTCCTGGAAGGCACAGAGCTGCTACAGAGGACAAGGTGTCCAGAGGACAGCAGACCCTACATGAAGGAGCCACAGAAAATGACGGGGCCATGGCTTCTCCCAATGCTTTTCATAATGTTGGGCCCTTCATTTAAAAGCCCAATTAAGCTCCTTGGACTTGGTATGGAACCACAGAAGGCGGGTGGAGCTCTGCTTTACCCTTCTTGCCAGCAGGTCCACAGTTAGGCAGAGAGCATTTGATTTATTCTTCTTAAACTACACAGGTGTAGTTGGCTGCAGAGTGTAATACAAGCTGATGACGTTAACATGCCCAGCCTTTGTGTTGATGTGTATGACAAGCGTGATTCACATCAGCCTCTCCTAGACCCTTTAAGGGACAGCAGCTGGAGAGCCATGAGCCTGCAATTAAGCAGCTACACATCTCCCAGGATCAGGCAAAACTTTTTTATCCAAACGTATCCCAGAATGCGAGGGCAAACAAATCTGAACCACGCTGGAGCCCAGTTTGTGGGACCTGGTGGAATTGTCTTTTTAACAGGATTATTTGTAACGTCTTCTATGAGCCTTGATGAATCTACGGGAAGAGTTTCAAGGTCTGTGTGTTACAGCTCAAGGACGAGTCTGGGGCCCTGATTCCAAACATATTGTGATTGGCTGCATGTTGCTAAACAACAAAAATAGCCCTGCATCTGTTGTCATTGCAGGGCTGGGACGTTATTTACAGGCGGGTCACTCAAGTTCCGTCAGCAGCCATTAATAAAATACTAAGAGGATATAAATGGTGACTTGCACCAACGAGTAAAATCAAGAGGGAGAACTGGGCAAAGGGCGAATTCTGGCAGGGTGGAAATCAGAGGGAAAGAGTCTCTTAAATGTATTTTCAGCCAAGAAGAAAGGAGAAGGCCTTCTGAAGGTGCTTGCTATTTTGAGAGAAAGGTTCTAGACCATCATGAGCAGTCAAAAGTTTTGAGGATTGTTTGAGAATTTTTTTTAAAAAAATGTTAAAACCCAAAGATAAAAATAAAATATAGCTCCTGCCCTGGCAGAGCATGTGGGTGGAGATTCAGGCTGCTGTTTTTCAGAGAGGCCAGTGTGCTAGATGGCTCAGCTCTGTGAACATCAATGTGGCCCAGATTGACAGCAGAGTTGGGCAGACAGGAAAGCTAATGGAAAGTTATTGGCAGGTAGGCCAGTAATGAGCCCTGAGGAGCAGAGACTTAATTTTGAGACCCACACTAAATAACCCAGCAAGATGGGAGACCAAACTAAAGCCACTCAAAGACAGATGGAAGGATCCCAGGAGAGGAGGCACTTGAATCCCTGTTGAATGAATGAATGAATGAATGAATGAATGACTGGATCAGTCAATCTCTTCTACATGTTCTCCATCTATCACTCACCTCGGATTCTTTGTAGTAGCGTTCTGGAATTTCATCACAGGCAATATCAATAAAGCAAACTTCTCTCTCTAGGTCTTTGGCTTCATTGTCAAAAATCTGAAAGGACAGAGCAACATATCAAAGGTTAGCAATGCCAGAAGAAATCCCCCAAGGTGCCTGTGGCTCGGTACAGCCATGCCTGAGGCAGAATAACACCCCTCAGAGCATCTTCACATGGCTCAGTGCCCCAGGCTAGTGCTTTCACCTGCCACAGAATGTGCGAGAATCATAAGGAATCATAAAAGGCTTTTATTCATCACTTAGGTTTTGTCACCTATGAGGCAGGTGTGGCATCCATCACCGCTTGGTGAGGGGTAGAAGAAAAAGTGGTCTGTTTTTAGAAGATCAAGAGTGAGGAAATAAATCTCTTCCAAGAACCTCTTCCAAAACTGCAGTCTGCTGATTTTTTTTTTGGCAGTTAATCTGAACAGGGGGAGTGAAGAGGCTGGGAAAGGGCTGGTTAGATTTGAGACAAAGAGCAGTGATATGCCTAAATTTTTAGAGGAAAAAAAATGTGCGTGTGTTTTCATTATTTTTTTTTAAAGAGAGAGAGAGAGAGAGAGAATTTTTTAAATATTTATTTATTTTTTTAGTTTTCGGCAGACACAACATCTTTGTTTGTATGTGGTGCTGAGGATCGAACCCGGGCTGCAACGCATGCCAGGCGAGCGCGCTACCGCTTGAGCCACATCCCCAGCCCTTGATTAAATTTTTTACATATAGTAATTTTACAAAAATTTAAGATCAGCAGAAAAAAAAAGATCAGCAAAAAGAAGATTAAACATAATCCCACTGCCCAAGGATAAATATGTGTATTTTTATTGACCATTAAGAGTATAATTTCCTTGGTACATGTAGGGGCGACAAGGTGTAGCTTGGTAAGATACTGAGATGGCTCCCTGCCAGTCTATTCTAGGTTTCACAGGTCCAGAATCTCCATTAATTGGAAAAAAGAAAAAGAAAAAAGAATATACATATAAAAATTTTGGCAGAAAGACTAAGTTCCCCTAGATTTCCCCCTTGCCATTTTTTCTGGTCTAAAGGGATGAGTATGCTTCTGAAGGACAGTAAACAGATTATGCTTGGAAAACCACTTCATCCGTAGAGGCAGTTGTAACCGCACCCCCATCTCACTGCTGAGCTAGCTCCTGCAGGGAACCACCAGTTAACACTAATTATATCAGACTCTTCAGAGGAGAATGGAATATTTAGGATGGGTGATGCCTAAGTGTACAGTCTTGAAAATTGGTGCCGGTTAATCACATGATCTCCCACAAGACGGCACCTGAAGGACCCCACTGGATGGGTCCGCCACTGCTGTACTCTTCTTGGTTTGCTTAAGAGGAAAGTACTGGTCCTTTCTGAAAGCTTTCTGAATAATATTTGTGCTGATAATTATTCCCCAACTCTGTTGTTTGCTCTATCACCTATTTTCTTCTAAAATGTTTGGAGGCTACTTGGGCAAATCTCTTCAGACTTCCCAGTCTGACCTTTTCTTTAAAGGCAGAGAAAGCTTGAGTCTTACCAGCCCTGATTCCTTCCGCTGCCACTTCAAACCAAGTGCTTTGGGATACTCCTAAAGTGTTTGGGAGGGACAGGTGGCTTGCTCGAAAAGAAACAGGAAGCAAACAAGTTCAAGGCTGAGTGCAGAAATAAGTTGTCCTAGATGTTTTTTTCCCCCTCTCGTTCTCTTTCATCTTTCTAAGGGTGAGCCAAGAGAAGAAAGGCATGTACCTCATTAAGAACACAAAAACAAGCCAGGCACGGTGGCGCATGCCTGTAATCCTAGTGACTCTGGAGGCTGAAGCAGGAGGATCACTAATTCAAAGCCAGCCTCAGCAAAAGTGAGGCACTAAGCAACTCAGGGAGACCCAGTCTCTAAATAAAATACAAAATAGGGCTGGGGATGTGGCTCAGTGGCTGAGTGCCCCTGAGTTCAATCCCCAGTACAAAAAAAACACAAAAAACAAAAAACAAAAAAACCCAGAACACCCCAGAAGGGAATGAGCTCCTAGAGAGTAAATCACAAAACATATGGGATTCTGTTGGGTGTGGTAGTGCACACCTGTCATCCCAGCTACTCAGGAAGTTGAGGCAGGAGGATCACAAGCTTGAGGCCAGCCTCAGCAACTTGGAGAGACATATGAAAAATAAAAAGGGCTGGGATATAGCTCAGAAGTAGAGTGCCCCTGGGTTAAATCCTCAGTACTAGGAAAAAACAAAAACAAACCCCCCAAAATGATGGGATTCAAAGAAAGGGAAATAATCAGATGTTGGGGTGGGGGTGTTGACAGCTTTTACCTAATTTAACTCAAACTTTTTTGGTTACCCATTGTACCGGTGGTCACTTTACTGCCTCTCAGGTCTAAATCCACTTTTAATCTCTGCTCTGACATAACCAACTGGAACCTCATAATGCTCTCTCCCCTCTAGAGTGCATATCACCATAAGCCTTGTCAGTAGAGGGCACTGGAGGGACACTGCAGGGAGAAGGGGACTCTTCAGGTTTGGATCCTGGAGGCTGTGGAGTCTGGGAGTGGGGATAATCAGTGATACTCTGCCCCAGTTGTGTGTCTGGAGGGCAGAATTAGCCAGTGACCCTGCAGCCTGGCCTGGTTCCGGGAACCAGCTGACCATGGCCCTCCTGATGCAGGCTCGGTGCCCTTCAGGCCTTGCACTGGCAGAGTGCCCTGACTTCCTCTACACACCTGTCCGCCAGCCTCACCTTGCCCATGCCTGGGAAAGCTTTTTGCTGCCAGTGAGTATGAACCAGCTCTGATTCAGGCAACCTGGTGAACTTCTCCCCCATCCTGTGGGTGACAACCGCACCTCTCCAGTGATGCCCCGGCCATGGAAAGGGGCACCTTCCACCTTGGTCCTTCCTTAGGTAATCTCTTAGCTATAGAGCACCCTTCTCTTGACATCTTTATAACTGCTCCCATCAAAAGTAAATAATTCCTTATATTCCTTCCTTCTGTTCAAATTATTGTGTGGCTTCTGTCTCCTGATGGGGCCCTGATTGATACACTCATTGCATACAAGTGCTGTCCTAGGCTTTAAGGACTAGAAAGACAGGGAGGGCTGAGTTCCTCCCCTTAAAAAGTTACCACCAAGTGGGAGAGACAGTCTGGGAAGTTATTACCAATATTATGAGGCAGGCTGGGTGCAGTGGCACATGCCGTAATCCCAGTGACTAGGGAGCCTAGGCAGGAGGATCACAAGTTCAAAGCCAGCCTCAGCAACTTGGTGAGCTCCTAAGCAACTTAGTGACACTCTGTCTCAAAATAAAATATAAAAAGGGCTAGGGATGTGCTCAGTGGTTAAGCGCCTCTGGGTTCAATCCCTGGTTGCTTTTTTTTAAAGGCAGAATAAAGTACATTCTTCAAAAGAAAACGCTGACAAGCTAGGGAGACGAGCCAGGAGAAGCTCAGAATGGAGGCAAGTCTCCAGGCTCCAGGTTCCAGAACCAGGCTCCTCCATGATAAAAGGCTTTCTCTTAGCATCCAACTGAGCAGACAAATAGTCTACCATGATTTTCCTTCTTTTTTCTAGAATGATGACATCTGAATCTGGTTCTCTTCCTGATACTTATAAAATATATATCCTGGGCAGCCATTGCTTAGCGTGGCCCTAAGACTTGGGGTTCTTCTTCTTCCTTTTTGAACAACTAAGGTTGCAGCTGACTCTACTTAGGCACCACCTCTGGACAACCCTGGTTTCCTTTATTAATATTATCTTAATTTGTGCCAAAGTCCATGAGACACCAGGCAAGGGAAAGTTGCATTAGTTAAACTCTGCAGAGACCACTTCAGGGTAGGTTTCCACCACCTGAACAAAGTCATACATACACACAATCACTTTGAGGACCTCAACATCCTCTTCGGGTGTGAGATTACAGAGTCTGAATTTCCAATAAATTATGAATCTCCTAGTTATTTGAGATTTTTAGGAGTTGCTCATAGGTGCTCAATAAATCATTGAAGAGTGGAAGGCATTTTTCTTCAGCTTCCCAAGCAGGAATATTGCTTACTTCTTGATCTTGGTTTGAGCTCCATTTCCTTATTTGTAAGCATTATATTCTTCCATAATTCCCAATATAGGGCTGCACATAGAGTGGAAACCTGCTAGCATGGGGCTGATGGGTCCTACACTGGAAATCGGGAGAGCAGAGTTTGAATTCACTTATCTTCTCTGTGTAATCTTAGCCAAGTCCTGCATCTTCTTTGGGTTTTTATATCCATGTCTGTCAAATAAAAAGCTTAGTCTATGGACTGGGGACATAGCTCATAGCTCAGAGGTAGAGCACTTGCCTGGCATGTGTGAGGACCTGGGTTCAATCCCTACCTCCGAGAGTAATAGGGCAAGCTGAGTTTAGCTGGATGGGTTTGAGGAAGGTGCATTTCTCTAGAGGGTTCAACCACTTTCTTCTGATTCTCAAAGAATCTGTGAACCTAATGAGGTTGAAATCAAGTGACCCAGATGACCACTAAAATTTCTTCCAGTTAAGTCTGTGATGTTGAGTGACACCTGGGTTACATTAGTCTCCTATGTCTTGCTCTGTGGCTTGCTCCTTTCCTGCTCCCGCACCCCACAGGCAGCCAACTTGGGTGATGGACAGAGGGGCTGCAACAAGGAAATGGGAAGTGGAGCTGGTCACGGCGTGGTATACTAGAGGGCACAGCCGGGTGAAACCGTCTAATCTTCACACCCAGTTCAGGGCAGGACCCAGAATGAAGCCAACTCTGCCACAGAGGCTTACCCAGGACCCAAAGGAAAACATTTAGCCAAAGTATTTATTTGAACTTCCTCAATGGTGAGAGCAGCAGCTGTCAGAGTTCTCGTTCACCACAACCTCTTTGAGGTACTTTTCCAATATCAATTGTAGTAACATTCCCATCTTTGTGTATTCGTCACACATATTCTATTAGTATTTTTTCATTGCTATAATGAACTACCGGAGGCAGGTTAACTTTATAAAGAAAAGTGGTTCATTTAGCCACAGTTCTGGAGATTAAAGGTCATGGCACTGGCTTCAGCGTGGCTCTAGGGAGGACCTC